ATGGCAAAAGACAGGCACACCAACACACTCGCTCCACGGTTCTCACACATACACTCGGGCGCGACACTAGGACCTACACTAGGGAGGACGTCCCGGGACACCTCCGACACCCGAGTATCGCACACACTTACATTCACACTCTAATTTACGTACCATTTTCCTAGAATCGACTGATGATGGCTAGCGACCATTGCGTAAAATGGTGATAAAAGTGATGTGTATTTCTATTTTAATTAAACACATTTCAATTTCAATTTTAATTAAATATTCATAATCTTATTGTTATAGTTTACTGTATTTAACGGTACATGTTGTGACTGTACTAATTGTAAAATTTATTCATTCTATGACATTGTATTGCTCGAGAGACAATAGCAAAAACGACGCATTTCCACAGTCTAACTACACACACAATGTAGAGAATACGTCGTGCACGATACACTAACGCATCATCAGTCGCTAAAAAATTATTAAGCTTACAAACTATGATCATCATGCCCATTGTCTTTCTCCCACCCAAGTAGCACCTGAGCACGTGAGTGAGGTGCTGACAATAAACATGGAAAGGATTAAACCTGAAAATCCTAAACTAAAAAGATAATTAGCACGTCTATTTTGTGTCTAACGGACAAATATTCTTTGATATTGAAATTTAATGTAACAATGTTGACTTCATTTACTTTACTTTATTTAATTTATTATTATCAAATTCTCACAATGAAAAAGGAATTGGCAACAAGAAAAAAAATTTATTCAATAATTGACTCTAAGTTAATACAAATAACCTCAGACGATTCCATTATCAAAGCATATCTTTGAAAGGATAAAAATAGTATTCAAAATTTATTGCTTTGATGCAAAAATCTGTCTGTCGCGAATTGTTTTCTTGCACTTGATATTTCATTCATTTTTATACGAAAGAGATCAATTTCAATATATATTTTTATATTTTAAACTACATTCGAGTTTATGATATAACAAATCAAGCCATTAAATTATTTAAAACATTCCTATGAAGCATAATAAAAAATGGAATTAAAAATTATATTATTATTATGTAATGATTGTATTTATTATTATAACGAAATCAGAGGGATTTCTCTGCTACATCCTGTTCAACTGAAGTCATTTCAATATTATATTTTATATATATTTAACTTTTGCAAACATCCATTGCATAATTGTTAAAAATTTCAATTAATAATTAATAATACATATGTCATTTACTAGTTATTAGCATTCTATTAATATTACTAGTATAAAATTTTAATTATCAATATTATAATATAAAAATATAAGAAACGCGATGCACAAGAAAACCTATCCTGAACTAATAAATAAAACACAGAATAAAGAAGTGTTACTACTCATGAGTATAGGAAATACCCACGGTCACTATGCTTGTAAAAGAATCTACGTATACAACCAATCACTCGTGCCGATTTGGAACTTTCATCCTACGACATGATTAAGTGATTGGAGGAACAGAAAAGCATGCGACTCACAATTAGATGCGTAGGACGTTGTCATCGATACCAACACAGGAGAAGACATCGTCAAGGAAAGGCCATCAAACACTATTGATTGAAGAGATTGAAGACTGTAACAAAACGCGAATATTATAATTTATTCTTAAAGATAGCGCTCATGATTTGGAAAATTTGAGAGAATTCGGATTTCCAAAATTATATTAAATTGTATTTCAATTGAAGAACAATTAATACTAATTGGAGCAAAAAATACAAGAAATAGAATTAAGTAGAGTACAATATGTACAAATACTTACATTTTCAGTTCTTGAAGCATTGTTAAATTTTTTCAGGAAACAGGGAAAAAGTAAAGACTGTGAGAAATCTGCAATAAAATACAAAATATTGTAATTGGTACTTAAAAGTTAAGAAGTAAGAGATAATAAATCTATTAAAATCTTGAAAGTCTAGTAAAATTTTTCAAACGCCACTTTAACAGAAATTATTAAAATTATATAAAAAGTACTTACACTTCTGAGTTCCTGGAGAAGCTGCATCCTCTTGAGCACTGACTCTACATAACGAATACAAATAAAAAGTGAAAAATAAAAGAACTATTAACGCGCACGAATGAGTAAAAACGAACATCGAACAAACACTGACTCTAATTTCGCGAGTCAATACGACTAGTGAATGATTATGATTGAATTGTGCTCTGAGAAATATAAAAAATATTATGCAACAAACATTGACTTTACTGACCGCATTGCACGCGGTCACATTCTCTGAAAATAAATCTGTATTAGCAGTAAAAGGAGAAACAGGAAAAGAAGTAAAATGTTTTGTCATTCCCATCGAGTGTTTGTTTTGAAAAGTATCATTTTCTTTATATATCTAGACAAGTGACTGTTATAAAATATTTCTACATGAAGTGAAATGACATACTATATAAAGATGTATGTTGTCAATAATACCATATTATTGATTCAATATTATCAATAACATATTACCAATAAAATAAAAAAACGATAAAAAATATATATATACAAGGCTGCTTTCAATATAATAAGTGAAATATTACCAAGTCTCCACGAAAAAGCACCACATTAACCATTAATCAGCATGGCGTCCATATTTGATTTCGTACTCTTTCGCGCCAATATGGCATTCTAACGGACGCCATTAACCTGTACAAAAGAGAGTCGACAATTTGAAACAAACATTCAAACTTATAGACCATATTATACTAAGATGAAACAGTAATGGAATTCAAAATACGTATCAAAGCGAAAAACACAAGCTATTAGAAACACAATCAATAGAAAAAGAACAAAAAGAAACTTCGAACGTCGTTCAATCTTGTTGCATTAATATTCTATTAATTAATTAGTTAATTAATGAACTGCGTATTAACTAAACATATCTAATAATAGTGTATAAGAACAATAGAATAAGCAGTAATATAACAAGACAGCAACAATGGAAATATGTATTACTCAATATATTAAGAGATCACGCACCTTAAATCGATACATCTCAACAACACAACCTTCATACACGAATGACTCACCGCGCCACAGTTTCGTCTAGCGAAATTAATAAAGTGGTGGGGGTACCGAGCCCAGCGACAAGGCCAAGTGCGAGTAAAGCTAGCAAATTCCTGGGAAAGTCATAAGTAAAAGAGATATTTTTAACAGTGAAAAACAACAATAGTATCGTACGTATAAAGATGTAAACTGCTAAATTTTAAACGTAAATATACTGGAGAGATATTCGTTCAAACATTTAACGCAGTCAAATAAAATTCATATTATTCATATTATTTATATTAGTATCTAATATTTGACATATTTCAAATAACAAACTGCTCAAGGGTATTATTTAATACAGTTAATGTACACTGTACTTATTTAATTGAATAAGAATTATAGATAAACCTTTTCAAAATAGGCAAAAAGTACATACAGAGAAATTAAATATATCATAAAGGGATAGCTACAACAGTAAATTGTCAAGCATCGTTGAATTCATTTTTCTCTAACATGGCGTCGCATGACAGCAGGGGAAAAAAAATTGTATGATTTGTGACTCGAGGTTTTCCCACTGTGGTATTTCTAAAAAAAAAAAGAAAAAAATACTGAAGAACCGGCATAACTAAGTGCCAGGAACGAAGTGACAGCTTTATGGGAACCATATCCTTGACCTGAGCTTCTAAGCGCACAATTCAAGATGTAGCTTGAGAGTTTCTTGCAAAAATTATTCTCGAGTTTATTGTCAAAAGAATACAAAAAGTTTTATATATATGAGGCACCTACATGTATATGAAAAATTATTACAAATGTCTAAATATACAAAGTCTACAACTATTTCCATCGAGAAAAATTTATTATTTTTTTACAATGTAGATTAATAATTATATAACTCATAATTATATCTATGTTTGTGATATATTTTTATTAACCTTACGGTAAATGTTAACCGCTATACTTATTCATATAATTTATAATTCTGATAATATATGTATGGATAATTATTACACAGAAGTGAATTGCTCTTTTTTTAGTAAATTATATAGACCAAAAATTTATTCAAACTGTATAATACATATAATTTTCCATTTTAAACGCAGTTGACATAGTGAAAAGTAATCGAAAAAAGTTTATTTATTAATTTTTTAAAAGATTTCAATGAATAATTTCTCATAGTACATTTTTTATTATAACTTGTGCCTATTTAAAAATATGCTTCTAGACAGTGAAAATTCATTCCAAATGCTTTTTTCATTCATCCTCAAATAACAAAGACTTACTATTCATTTAAGTGCTTCATATATTCTCGTTTATAAAATTATAACACCCCATAAGAAATACTGTTTTCTTTTCTACCAGTTTTAGGCGATCATTCTCATTATCCATATGAATTTCGTACGCGTATCTTTCATAAAAAATGAAAAAATTTTGTTCCTTCTGCAGTCTCTCGTTGGCTATAATCTTTAAATTCTCTGATCAGATATTAAAATTCAATTTGGATTCGTATAAATTTTTCGTACTAACTGCTTTAAAAGCTTTGAAAGTCTTGTAAATCTCGAAGGATCTTAATCGATTTAATTGAACTAACAGGCTATAATATCTGAGAAAGTCTTCAGATCCCGGTTCTTTTATAAATCTTCCAATATTTTTACCATTAAACCAGACTTGAATGTAAAATCTTTAATTAGAGTAATTCTCGATTTATGCACGATCATAAAGAAAGAAGCAATTAGATTAATGGCGGTACTCTTTTCTTCGAACACCGATGAGATCATTTATTGGTATCGCGTACCACTACATCAAACTAATCTCGTTAGATATGCGAATTAAGACGATCTATCTTTCGAGATTTATAACGCAAAAATAACTTGGTAAAATTTTTACACGACGTTGCAGCACGTTAATAAAACATCCTTTTA